CCTAGATAGAACTCGTTGAGTTCGGCATTGGCTGGTGCAAGGAAGTTCGGAGTTATATATGACCGAGTGAGGAGTTTCTGGAAGTCTTCGAAACTGAAAGAGTCACCAGATTGGGATTGTGAAGCAGCCATTAGGAACGGTTATATTGCGAGAGAGAAGCGCGAAGCAATGAGGCGTGATTTAGTAATGCGATGAAATGGCGTGTATTTAGGGGTTATAAGGGCTTGCAACGTCGCGCCTTTTCAGGCTATGGGAGAAAATAATGATTGAAATTCTTGAGAATTTCAAATGTTGTTGGGAAACACAAAGTAAATATGGCAAAAATTAATAATTGGTATTAATTCTGCCATATTGGGGGGTAATTGTTGACACGCTAAAAGTGCAGCTCAAATCGAATAACCCAAATAATGAAGTCCAACTGGGCAATTCAGGATAAAGACTCGAATAGGGTTATCAATGAATGCAGTGGAAGCCCACGAACGCGGTAATACCATCGCCCAAACTTGCAAGACGTCCAAGATCTGAGTGAATGAAGTATCTTGCAGTCTCCCAGAGTTATGATCTTATTCTCTCCCAAACTTTCGAATCGCCCAGGATCTTAGCAAACATAAGATGTTATGGTTATCCAAAAGTGCAATTATCGAAGCAGTTATTGGGTAATCTTATCACGTTCCACGATTCAAGGATGTTCAGTTGAGGACGGTTGAACGACAAAGAGTAATGACAGCAGTTAGAGACGGCAGTTCCACGATAAGTTGGCCACCATGAAGAAAGTGGACAGTTATAAAGCAATTAAGCGGTTTCCAAGCGGTTGATCACGAAGAGATCATCAAGGGAATATAAAAGGAAGAAAAGACATAGAGTAAAGGACCCGAATCAAACACTCTCAAATAGAGAATATGTAATTTCAATTCATTAGTTTAGGCTTAAAATATTTCTTTTCAATACTCGTGTGCTTGTGCCCCTTGGAGGCATTTTGTTTAAGTTCCAATTGTAAAGTCATCACAATAAAACACCTCTTTTTGAGACTTTGTCTCAAGATGTTTGTTCCTTACACAATCGTCTGATCCCTTTTTAATTGTTAGCAACAACTCGCGCGAAACAACTATATTTACAGAAAAGATGTTGGTTTAAGCTCTATTATGTTCATTTTGTAGCTACAAAAAAAGAGAAGTTTTCTGTGAAGATATTTCGTTGCTCTTTCACACTATGGTAGGCTTTCGAGAGACTTTTTTCTAAACTTAGTAATAAATGCTTTGGAAGAGGCTCGTGCACTATTGTTAATGTTCGACTTATTAGATGTATCTGCAGAAAAATATGTAGCTCGATTAAATAAATAGAAGTGCAAGAATGAAAGCTTACTTCAAATAGAAATATAAAGAACATTTACACAATCATGCCAAGATTAAGCCGGAAAAAACCTTTCTAGTTGCACAAAGGTATAGTTTTGAAAGCCAAAAGAAGCATAAAAATTTGAGTTAGGACAAAGTATTCTTCATATGGACTAAGGATAGTTTGTTTAGATTTTTATAAAAGTACAAGTCTACAAAATGTTTACTTACTTAGGGAATGGTTTTAGCCAAAAGGATGCAAGTCTCTGAATGACGATGATATAGCATTGAACGAGGTCCAAATGAAGAATTTCATTATATATCCTAATTAGAAGTACTAAAACCAAATTTCTTTTAATGACTTTGCTCAAAATAAATAAAATGTACAAACTGAGTGCAAATTTGAAGTAAAAATAACGTAAGCAAATTAGAAATCTAAATCCTAATGGATTTGTTATGGAGCGTTCATACATAGGAAAGCAAAACAATTGTTCGATAATAAGTAAACATGAAATGTACAAATAAAAATCTATAATTCATGTAAGAGTAAAACTTTCATCAACACGGCACACTTTGTACACCATGAACATGGGGATTTCATCATTCACAAGTTCAAATACACGTGTCACTTATTTGAAGTTGTTTTGCTCTATCGTAGTTTGCCCAACCTATGGTGAAACATCATACATAACTCTATATGTTCTTAGATTTGTACGTATGAGCCAATTTGATATGAAGAACACCTTCGAAAAACAAAAATGCTAAGTGTTGTATACTTTTTTTCACAGTCCTTTCGCAAAACGTGAGGCTCACGATTATTTTAATTACGGGCCCACCTTGAACGTGAGAGAACTGTCAACGGCACTATATACCTGTAGCATTCCTCTTTAAAAAAAAATGATATAACCAAAATTTATAAATATTTGAAAATGATAATATTCTTGATCTTTCTTTCCATTTTGTATCATTATGAAAGAAAGGAACAAAAAAATATATATATATATCAATTGAACTACAAATTATAACATCATTACCTCAACCGTGTGGCTCAACTTATATATAACTGAAACTATCCAAAGTGAAAAACACCTTAAAAAAATTGAATTAAGAAAAATGAAAAAAAATTATTTTTCTCAGCATTTATAGTCTTATGTTCTATTAGGAAAATCATTTAATTTCCATTCTCATATCGCATTTTTGAATTTCGTTTTGTGCAACTTAAATACTCAATATCAAGTACAACTCACATAAATACTTTATTATATGCATGCGTCGAAATGGTATGTGCTTTAAGTGAGTGTAATTTGCCACATTGACACTCGAACCCCATATTCACCATTCGTTATTAAAATAATATTACACGTAAATCAGAAATTTTTTCCTTATTTTTTATCCACACATTTCTATCAATCTACTATTCTAAAATTCATTTTTCCATTTTTATGGGTGTCAAACACCCTCTTAACTTTTAACAATTTAAAAAAATTGTTATTGATCTAATTAAAATTGATGGCAAGAAAACATGAAGAAAAAAAAAAAAAAACTACAAGCAAATAACTTGCTACGACTCCAATTAACAAGATAGATTGATATGTTACACGACTTTTTATAGCCCATTTGATTCCCATTTTTATCAAAATTGGGAAGGCCGGAGTAAGTCCCATGCCCAATTTATTTATTTTTATTATTTATTTAGATTACTTGCTTTTATTTATTTTTATATATAGTTAGTGAATAAAAGTACTTTTTTTTCCCAATTTGTTAAAAATAATTATATTTCTTTTAAATATGATGATAAATCTTTTTTTTATTTGATAAAAAAATTAAATTTGAAATTAATTTTAAACGGGACGGGTAACGAGACGAAGATCATGTTTCCAAATAGGAAAAAGCTATACATACAGAAAATAGTTCACAGAAGTTATGTAGAAATTCAAAATGAGAGACTTGTCGCTGTGTGGTGAAAGGAAAAAGAAAAGGAACTGTTGGCGGCGACTGGATTGGAGGGAAGTGTTAAAGTGTATAAATTCAATTCAATAAATTTGTTATATTTTTTCCTTGATTTTCGGGCTCATTACGGGATATCAAATAAAGTCGAAATATTACATTTTTAATATCATTTTGAAATAATAACAGCCTAGTATTTTACGTTGTTAACTGTGCACGAAACTGTTAATTGTAGCAAATGTTACGACGCGTCAAAGTAGGTCATTCCAAACTAGTATTTCAAAAATTTCGATAAGAATCTAACTTTAAAAAAATTTCGATGATTGTACGCTAATCGAATCCAAAAATCTTCTATATCATCTCGAAACTCATTTCGAGAACAATATCATAAACATATCGAATGATCTAAATGAATATCGAAAATAGTTAAACGTACGTCAAATGTATTTATCAAAAAGAGACGTATAACATGTTTTTTTTAAAGAAATCAATTATTTTATTAATGTTTATTATTTTTGGGCTAAAAATTTCTCAATATAATTTACATCATTTCATCAAATTTTTTTATATGTGGTATAGGCTAAAAAAATTTATGAAATATATTCATAAATTTTTTTATTAATAAAATTTTCTTAGTCATGCTTTGATTGGCTTCGTTTACTTTTTAACATTTTCTATTTTTTATTAAAAAATTACATCATACCATATATAAAATATTCTGATAAAATGATGTAAATTATATTGAGAAATTTGTCACTAAAAAATAATAAATATTAATAAAATAATTGATTTTTTTTTAAGATGAGTTATAAGTCTCTTTTTTATACACACGTTTAACTTACGTTTAACTGTTTTCGATATTCATTTAGATCATTCGATATATCTATGATATTGTCCTCGAAATGAGCTTTGAGATGATATAGAAGATTTATGGATTCGACTAGCTTACAATCGTCAAAAAAAATTTAAAGTTAGATTCTTATCGAAAATTTTGAAATATTAGTTTGAAACGGCCTACTTCGACGAGTCGTAACATTTGCTACGATTGACCGTTTCGTGTACAGTTAACAACGTGAAATACTAGACCATTGTTACTTCAAAATGATATCAAGAATATAATATTTCGATTTCATTTGATATCTCATAATGAGCTCGAAAATCAAGGCAAAAACATAAGTATTTTATTGAATTGAATTTATACAATTAACACTTCCCTCCAAGCCCGTCTGTCCTTTTCTACCAATAGTTCCTTTTTTTTTTCCTTCCACCACATGACGACACGTCCCCTCATTTTGAATTTCTGCAAAAGGTCTACGAGATCGTTTCTATACGTCTAGTGCGATTGCACCAAATATCGGGTTTAAGTGCTATTTTTTTGTCATCTCTAATGTAAACATCCATCTCGAGCCATATTTTGCCTTGGCGATTGAGATGTCCAATCGTTATTTATTAAGGTGAGTTATACCTCGAGTAAGAATTCACGCGTCAATTGTACATGTATTATAGGAATGTCCGACTTTTGTTTTTACATATAATAGACAGTTGGTTTCAACGGTCAATCATTATCCACGAGTAGGGTCTCTTCGTAATTTTATGCCATTTCCATTTTTCACCCATTTTTGTGTTTAAAGATGATTTCGTTTCATGGCTGATCTGATCATCATCATCTTTTGAACCCATTTCCTGTAACAAAAACAGGTACTCGATTTCAATATTTCTATTTAGTATGTATGCATACCTGATACCAGTGCATGAATACATAATGCAATTCTTTTAATTTCATGTTTTCGTTTTGCAATGTTGTCCGGCTAATGTTTGGAATATACATTCTGGTCGATCCTCCCCTATTTCTATATTTCCGCAATTATGATGAAATAAAAGAAATTTAGGGTTTGGCTTTTTGAAATTCTTCGTCATTTTATGGGCTTCTCTTCAAAAGGCAAACTGTCGCACAAATTTGTTGAATTTAGGTTGCTTCTATACTTGTAAAGAGAAATGGGTTGTCGTTTATTTCTTCAATTATGAAACCAAATTCTTCCCCGGTTGGGTTTGCTCGAACTTCTGTTGGCTAATGCATTTCAACTATGATTTTTCTTCTACTACTTTTTTTTCTCCGTAGTTTTTATTTTTCTTAGTGTTAACAGTGTTTGCACGGATACGAGAATGTTGATTTCACGAAGAAGGGTTTACAAACTTTTGTGTTATTCATCGACCGAGAAGTATTCGATGGTTCGTTTAAGTGAATACCTCGTGTAATTTCTGAAGTAAAATGAGGAAACCTGGGGATCTCATGGCACTCTTGTCATCTGCAGCTTGTGAATGGTTCTTGATATTTTTGCTGTTTGTGGATGCAGCATTTTCATATTTACTTACAAAATTTTCTAATTATTGTGAACTGAAAACACCGTGTTTGTTATGCTCGAGGCCAGATATTGTCGTCAGGGATAAGAAACCTAGAGGGTACCAAAGTGTATTATGCAGTGACCACATAGAAGAGATTTCATATTTAGTATCTTGTTCTGTTCACAATAAACTTGCTGATGTTAATGGGATGTGTGAAGAATGTCTAGTGCCAATTGCCATGAAGAACAAATCCAATTCTGAATCGTATAGGTTATTGGTGGGTAAACTATTGGTGGATGTTGAGAGAGCTGTTCTCCAGAATTTAATCTTGAATAAGAATATTCGACTTGTTTCTTTGGGTCGAAGGACTTGTTCATGTTGTAACAAGACGTGGAAAGCAAAATCGAATGCTGAAAGATTACACGAACTAACTTCAGTTGGGTTTGGGGCATCAAAAGCTAATGTCAAGCCCCCTCTGCCTCGTGTTCCGGGTCATAGCCGATTCTGCCGTCGGGATAGCTTCAAGAGATTAAGAGATAGATTTGCGGGACAAGTAAAAAATCAGCCTGTCGGGAGCAAGAGTGTTGACTCGCTGTCTCATGTAGGGTATACAAAGTTGAATATTAAATCTGATTCTGATTCGGAGGTCCCTCTCTCTGATGATGACAATGAAGGAAAATCTGGACTTCGTGGGAGAAATGATAATATAGAGAATTATGTACCTAAAACACCAAATGAAAATTTGTTAACAGAAAAGCAGGCATATCGAGCTTCTGAAACGATAACTTCACTTCTCGATCAATCAATTCTGCATGATGTAAGTGAGCTCAAGAATAAGATATCTGTGACATCAGATGAGCTTAAGTGGGCCCATTCTCATTCAAAGCCTAATTTATCTCAAATGGCAGAGCTGATATCATCAGGTGATGGATTCCAACCACCAGCTGTTGGAGGAGTTCCTTTTGATGCATCAGTAGAGACTAGTAAATGCAATGCTTCTCTCTCTGATATGCCTACCTGCTCCATACTATCTGAGCTTCTTTCATTGAACAATGTTCCTTCCTCAACCCATATTGAAACAAAACAACCAAACAGTAAGCTCCAGTCCCTCCCCTGATCGTTCCTCCCTTATGTGCTTATTGATATCGCCTGTGTGCCAATAGAGAGTTAAATACACTGCTAGTTACTAAACTTCTAGAGATATTTTACATTGGTCACTCAACTTAAAACTTTTGTTTGAAGTTGATCACTCTGTCCATGTCCATTAACTTGACTAATGGAAAATTTGACTTCAAAGTCTAGTTATTTGCCAATTAGATTGCTACATCAGCTAGTGAAACTAACGGACATGGATGGAATGAACACATTGCAAATAATATTGAAGTTAATGACCAACTCAAACAAAATTAAATTCAGAGCTCAACTTTGAACAAAATGAAGTTAAGTGATCAATTTGAAATTTTGCTCAACGTTCAGTAATCACAAATGTTTTCAACCCACCCAGAGGTTTAAGTTCATGAGTACACAATCATAAAATTCAAGCAGTTTTTATTATTGTTCATGCGATTTATTTCTTACTCGTGAAATGGGTTTACAGCGGCAGATGTTGCGGGAACCAGTGACAAAGAAAATGCATCTGCAGCTAGACATATAGCAGCTGAAATAGAAAGCTCCTCAGAGCATGTTTTCGTACCAGTGTCTAATGACAGTAATCTTACCGATGCATCATCTCCAAATAATGAAGGTACGGAGCCAATTGTTATCAGCCATTCTGCTAAAATTGAAGAAGATACTGAGTCTCTGCAACAGGTTTCTAGTTCTAACATGGGTCTAACATCAAAAACTACAAGTCTGGCAGCTCATAGTCAACTCGGTGCACTTACAAAATGTGAAGAATCTACTCCTCATGCTCTTCCGGTTTCACCCTTGCTGGAGAGACATGATTCTGGCTGCGAATCATTGGATGGAAACAGTGTAGGTGAAATTGAAGGTGAAAGTGTTGTTGATCACCTAAAACGACAGGTTGAGTGTGATAGGAGTTGTATGAGTGCTTTATATAAGGAGTTAGAGGAAGAAAGAAATTCAGCTGCCATTGCTGCAAATCAGGCAATGGCTATGATTACAAGATTGCAAGAGGAAAAGTCTGCACTTCATATGGAAGCCTTGCAATACTTAAGAATGATGGAGGAACAAGCAGAGCATGATATGGAAGCACTGGAGAAGGCTAATGAACTCCTAGCTGAAAAGGAGAAGGAAGTGCAAGATTTGGAAGCGGAGTTAGAGTTTTGCACAAGTAATTTTCGAAGCGAATCAATGGCTGAGAATCTGATTAAATTGGAGAACGAAAACTTCATAGTTGAGAACCATGCCGAGAATAGTCCTGCTGGTCCTAGTAATACAAAATCTATTAAAATTTTAGAAGGTAACAGAAAAACTGAACTTGTGAATAATTCAATATTAAACTTCGAGGATGAAAAACTATACCTTTCGGAATGTTTGAAGAAGTTGGAAGAAAAGCTTCATCAAGCTGCCTATGATGGGATATCAAATTACATGCCGAATGTTGTACACTCCGAAAAAAATACAAATGAAGTTGATGATGCAGAAAACTTATCAATGAACGGAGAGACTCAGGTAGATGAACATAATGAGAATAATGGTTTGCCGCTGCAAAAAGAAGTATCAGGATCAAATGGAAGTCCGGCACAGGACCTGCCTACTGATTTGGTCGAGGATAATCATTTTGTTTCTAAAAGTAGTGAATCTAGTGATAGTGATATTATGGATAGTGATAGATGTAAATTGTCCGTGAATAGAGGTCCAATAAACTTGGCTACATTTGAGAAAGGAATGGCAGACCTTCGTCACCGATTGGAAGCACTTGAGACCGACCGTGATTTCCTCAACCATGCTTTTAATACGCTCAGAAATGGAAAGGATGGATTGCAGTTTATTCACGAAATAGCTAATCAGCTACAAGAATTACGAAAAATTGAGTTCAAGAAGAGATGCATATCAATCCCTTGAGATCGTGCGTTTCCCAATTGGTAAACAAGCATTTACTGAACATTATTGTAGTGTGGAATTACATATGTAGTTATGCTACATGTTATTTAGATATTAAGAAACTGAATTTATGTGCTGCCCCGTGAGACTCTATGCTTATCTTATTCCCAAAATATACATATTAACTTAGCATGCAGATTCTGCTAGTCCAGTGCCAATAATTCATCATGAAATTCCCTTGAAGCAGATGTTCTTTCAATATACCCACATTGCAAGCCATTTTTAATTATTTAATTATTTTTCATTTTTATGTTTGTGTAACTTGTAAAGACCTATACTGAGTAGATTATTTTGCAGATATACCCGAACTATTTTTAGTTAAAAAAAGATGTAGACTTGACGAGGTCTTACATGATGAGAAAACATTTGCAAATTTTAAAGAGTATATAGCACCACTGGTGAGTCTATGTGGCTATACATGGTAGGCCTAATTAAATGTCCCATAATACCACATTTAAATAGACTTATCATTTAATGCCTTCGATTGCCACATAGACCAGTGTTTTATCACTAGTGGTGCTACCTAGCATTATTCAGTTTTAAAGTTCACTCTTTTTTCAGCATCCTTTTAATTTTGCAGTTCTTGAAAGATCTTTATGGCACATCATTCGACAATTATAGCTTTCCAATACAATGCATATTATGGGTCGTTTTCTCCCCTTAACTAACAAATTCTTCAAATTTTAAATCATTTGAAGAATCACATTGTCTTGATAGCTCAGATTTAACGAACTTCTTATTTGATAAATTATGATAAATTGTCTAAGAACAACAATAAATTAATTTTATTTTTTTTTTAGTTTTTTACGTGATTATGTGGATTTCCATTTTGAAAGTTTATATTTTGTGATGGTGTATATGTTGGAATATTGAAGCCTAGTATTGTTGTGCACTGCTGTTCACTTATAAAGGATTTTTAAGGGCGATTGCATTAGGGTTGCCCGCTGTTTTCTGTGAGACACAAAATGAAAGGCATGAGATCACCATTGCAATATTCATTTTCATAGTGAAAACCTGCAGAGACGGGTGGACATGTACAGTCAAATCATTGTGTTCTTTGCTTGTTATTCGTTTCTTTTATTGTTCTTGTAAAATATGGATCAGTACTTATGGATCAGTACTTAATCCGTGGCAGATTAATTGTTTACCAAAATCCATTACATGCTTTTTATCAACTTACCCTGGCGTTGAAAATCTCTCCTTTTTCCTTCTGCCATCACAAGTTTTCATTGGTAACTTCTCCAGACACATGACCAGAAGAAGAGCTGAACCAAGAACCTTGAGCAAGCTTCATAATCTGATATACAGTGTTTAAAGACAGACAATGTGACAGATGTATCTTATGAGTCTTCCTGAAGTTCGCAGATTCATGATAAAGATTTGCAGATAAGTACCCGTTTAGTTTTCTCAGATGAGGAAGGTACGCCGGAGGAATGGGTTACATATTCATCCTTCATTTTCTTGTAGAGTTTTTACCCTTCTTTCAAATGATTATGACACTAGATTGGGTTTTGTTCTCTAGTTGTTTTTGACCAAAAACTATATCATTTTTCTTGTACTCTGCTTTTGTTACAGTTCCCTATTCTGAGCTTCTAATTTGAGAGCTTTATTCAATTCTATTATGTTGCTTTAAGGTTGGTCATAGTAAGCGAGTCCTTCCCTTTGTAAATGCAGTAGGTCTACTGCAAGTTATTTTTTATTTATTTTGATTTTCTCCGTTTTTGGCCCTCTTTTATATTAACCGAAATGCGCACCTTATTAGCACTATTACAGAAAAAAATAAAAATAAAATAAAAATGTTGAGTGTAAATTAGTAACATTTTGCAAAAGTTAGGGGCAAAAAGTGTCAATAGTCAACCAATCACTTTTATTCTTCATATACATAATTTCTATTAGTTTTAGCGTCCATGCTAGCATATCAAGTTAGTTAATTAGACTGAGAATAATAGATGGAGTGACCACGGTTGCACGCAAATCAAAGTTGAGTGATTTGATTACTCAATTAAAGATAATTGACCTAATTGCACGTTCATTGAAAATTTAGTGACCAACTATGCATTTAACCCTTTTTGTTTCATTTTTACATGTTTCACCATTTTCTAGCACTTCCATACACAAACTTGACTTTTTAACCTATGAAAATTATTGACCAATGTTCTAAAAGCGTAAGACGTAACCAAATGCTGAGGTTAAGCCTCAAGTTGTAAGAGTATAGACGTTTTTATATTTCTATTATTACTTTACTATTCCAGATCAATAAATTAGAAAATAAAGCATACCTTGAAAATTAATAGAAACTTCATACATATTTTCAAATTACCAACAAAAATATAATTTTCGAAAATATAAATACCTCAAACCAATATCTTTTTTATGGACAAAAAAAAAAAAAAACTAAATTTGTGGGCTGCGTTCGGACTTCGTCAACATTTTTTGGGAATATATTTCATTTTTAAGTTTTAATAATGATTGAGTTTTTTGTTCGAATAGACTTCAAAAAAAGAAAATACCACCTGTTAAACAAAAATGTGTTCGCCTCAGCGAACATAGAATTGACCATATTCTTTCAAGCCTAAGCACTGGTCTCTGTGCCCCGTGCCTAGAATGACCTTTTAGAACACAGTTATGAACCAGATATTAAGTTCTGAAGGCTAAATATATCCTTAAATAAATGCAAAGGTTCACAAGCTATTGACCATCTTCGGTTTTTGCCTTCAGAGTAAAGTATTTAAGTTTTCAACATTTTGTTTTTGTTGCAACTTGTAGTTCCAAATGATAAGAAAAGATAAAAGAAGTATTTAAATTTCGATTTTGTTCATTATTCAACTTTTGATGGATTGAGTTCAAGAAATTTGAGAAAACAGTGGCAATTTATAAGATCACTAACTAAAATTTCAGGAACTCAAAAACTTATCTGGCATCATGGTTGGCATTTGCAAAAATTGGGAATTGAGCAGAAAGATTGAGGACTAAAATGTCCGTTTCTAAACATTGGAGACGAACATAACCTTTCCGTTTTCATATCTACCGACGAACATCCTTGGATCGATAAAAACCAAAGAAATTTCTATCCATCACATATATATTGAAGTGCATGTTGCATGGGAGTCCTATTATACAGATTACAAGGCCACAACATCTTACATTCTGATGGTGATGTTGACTATCGGAATGAAGCAGTCACGAAAAATTGTGGTTCCATAGGAAGTCACAGATTTCTCACATTTTATCATCGCTTACCGAGTGAGATAGTAGATAATGAGAAAAATAACCACAAACGATGCCACGAGTTTAAACATATTCCGGTTTGATTTGGTCTCGAATACCTACACAAAAAACATACTCATACTGAAAAATTAAGTACCCAGAGCAAAAGTAAAACTAACGGCAACAGAGTAAATTTAGATCTCGCGTACCATCTTAAATTTATCCATGGTTCCCGATAAAACTCCCCTTGAAGCATCCATGTCATTGCCCTAAAAACCAGAAGTTAGAAAAAACCAAGTGCATAACGACAATACTGTTACTTACTCAAAATAAGAGAAATATATCTCCGGTATACGCACCATCCTGTCAAGAATACTATTATGAGCCTCAACCTCCTCGTGTACATCACCTGACAACTGTTCATGCAGAGCATGCTTAAAACTTGGACAAGAAAAATCGACAGTTAAATAATTCCAATCTACCAAAAGACACACCTAATCCATTTTAATTTAAATTAAAATAAAGGCAAGAACCCACACTTGAGATAATAAAATAAAGCTATTTCATACAATTAATAGCCAACATATGTTAAAACAATAATTATAATTAATACTTTATCCAATTTTCCTGAATGCTTCATAGCTAAAAATTGCACACTTATGTATCAAGAACTTATCAAATTAGTAGCACAAACTTTGTTATTACCCGTCTACAGGGTAAGAAATTATTTTGTTTTTTCCACCAAGTAACAATCAATTCCAGCAAATACAAACTCACTCTTTTCAGCAGACTAACTCGATCTTGCAACCCATCTATTGCTCTATCATTCTCTTGTTCATCAATTTCACGAGAGGAATAAGAAGATGAAGCCCTGATACCCCCTTCCTCAATACCATCAAAAAGAGCAGTTCTAGCATTACGCTCCCTGAATTAGAAGAGGCATAGTGTAAGTCCTAGAACAGGAGGATATAAAAGAACTGGTTCCTTCAAATATTTTATAAATGAATTTGAAAAGATTAAATTGTGAATAATGAACATAAAAAACTTGGTTTCCATAAACCACCAGTAAAGATTCTAATGTATGATGCCCCTCAGATTCAAGAGCTTTAGAGTTACTGGGGTTAAAAGGTCTCGTAATTTACAGGATTTACAATGTATCCCCAACTATGACAAGTTTGTAGAATTGAGATATTCACAGCTAAGATTCTTAAAGTAAAGAGAACAATATAACCAATACTTCAAACATACAAGTTCAATTATTGAATAGTCAGGACCTTCGTTAGTGCTAAACCAACATAAACTGAATCCAACTCCACAATCCCAGAAGCCATATTAGCCTTGGGACACAAATATTTTATTTCATTTATCCAGAAAAGCAAACAAGTCGATTTTCATTCTTAAAATGATTTGTGCTCATATAGAAAAAGCGTGTATGCAAGATAATAGATACAAAAAAGTCCTCGAAATCCTGACACATTTCACTAGCATCAATCATGTAAGAAATAAATAAAATACTTGAAACTCATATGCACTAAAATAGCTATTTGATGCACTTATAATTTAATACATCTCCACATAACAAAGAAACTCTGTCAAATACAAGTCAATCAATGCTACATACAAAATTTCACAACCTTCTTAATTCAAAATGTTCAACATTATCTTGTAGAAAAAAGCAATTTGAAACAGTAATGCAACTGTAAGGTACAGTGTTTTAACAAAGAGTTAAGAATGTAAGTAGTAAGAAAATCAGAGGCAAAAACCTTCTAGAATTCATGGCCAAGGAGATCAAAATATCTGGAGATTAATTTGGAATAACAAAACCTTGTCACAGCTTACGATTCGAAATTCTGCATCTAACAAGATTATAAATGACATTAGAACTCGCATTAGCCATAAAGTATTCAAATTGTAAATCTCAAATGCTGTTTTTCATGGAGGACCATAAACTTGATATTATGGTGGAAATTACAGATCTGGAGACTCTGTCTAAAACCTCGAATTACTAGAGAGAAAAAATAATTCTGTTAAACTTAGACTCCTTCCGAATTTACAAAAATACAGCTACAAACGGTTATAACTCCAGTTATTTTCAGAAGATTCGAGACAAAGAACAAAAACAGAAATGATATTAAAAAATTACGCCCTAAAAATTCAAATCGATATATGCATTCCAAATGAATCGATCAACGGGAGCAAGAATAAATCAATCCATCATAAATAGAAGTGAGATTTTAATCGAATTAAAATCAATATGGAGAATTAATAGGAGAAAACGCAAGCACCTTGGGATAGCTTTTCCGAGAAACGAATTAGAGAAGCCTGATGCGTTTTAACTTTTAACATTTTAGCTGATTCGCGGGTTTCGGTTTGGAGGACCTATCTCTTCGTGGATTTGAACTAAAGCCCACGGTGTTTCCACAACTTATTGGGCTAGTCTCGTGGGCTTTCTTTTTCTAGATTTTATACATTTTTTAATATATATAATTTTATTTACCATGGGTAAGTCATTTTCAAACATATTTCTGCATTGCTAATAAATCTATAGTTTCATGAGAAGAGAGTACAAAGTATTGTCTACTTCGTTGTTCTCGTGATTTGTACAGCTATTGTTGGAAATTATGTTGGTGGAATGATACCGAATTTACAGGTATCGTATATGCATTTTTGATACCGAAATTGCACTTACCGTATATATAATATACCGTATATGTAGTATACTGTATATGCACAGATTGTATACCAGATTTGCACAAACTAAATTATCATAAGTTATGTAAAATACATTAATTTAATAAATCTAAACGGGAAATATGAAAATTAACAGAAATTTCAGAGAACAAGAAAATTAACGACATGCTTATAATTTCATATAAACTTTTAACCCGAGGCCTGTGTAAACACAGTGTCCTTAAAATAGATTCGCCCTCTCACCCTACTTGCTTGAGTTTTAATCCGAGCATTTGTTTTTCAGGATACAACGGTATATAGTAGAATTTGAGCACCGCAGATACTACTCTGGCGAACTGATCTAGTATCCGAACAATATCACCACAAGAACAAGACCTTACTGGACAAGGAATGCAGAAAAGAAAAAACTGTGTATGCAGGAATATAAATGAGATTTTCGAGTGTGTTAGATTGCTGGAGAATGAGCATTTTTATAGGCATACTGCCCATTAACATTGTGACCATTAGGAGTCCATTGGATTTTTTGCAGTTTCAGAAACTCAAAAGTCATTAGAGAAAACAAAAACAAATTGCAAAATGTGGGCTCTCCGAAGGGGCGAATTTTGCCTTGTTCGGTCCAACATTCATGTGCGCAGGTCGCACCCGCACCCAAGTTCAAAGTCCGAAAGCTATTTCGGTCCGAGATTTGCACCCTCCCTGCGCGCGCACGTGGAGAGAGTCTCTATGCTACACATGATTACACCATTCCAAAGTGTAGGCATATATAAAGTGGTTCATGCTTTCTTCATTTTCCTATGTGGGACAAATGTCACTTTTTCCACATAAATCATCTTCCAATGGCCAACTTTGAGCTCCAATTTCTCATTTATCCGTTACTCAATTTTGGCAAGTACATATATGGTTTCAATGCTCTCACGGAGGAGAACACAGATCAATTTTGATCTTCCAAATGGACCAACAGGTCCCACTCAAACTTATGCCAAAAGTTACCCATTTACTCATTTTTCCAACAATCTCTCACATGAATGAAAATTGGGAGAGACACAGAAACGTGACACGAGAGACTTGGTGATAAAGTTCAACGGTTGAAACCTGCATAGGATATGTAGGTATTACCCTTTGAACCTTCCCTTGTGAAAGTATATTTACTTTACTAGCTGACCAATAGACGCGTTGTCCTTGAACTGTTCCGCTCTTTGTGTAAACGATGATATACTCCACACATGATTCTTCCTAACACAATTCAGTTCTCATTATTATGTTTGTTTTGACCATAAACATACGTCAGGTTCTGTGAGAGTTTCTAAGAATTGAGCCCCACACAATTCTCTTAGAAGCGACCCCACTTCTTTCTCACATAGGTGATTTTTTATTACAAGTAACCCGCATTACTTGGCTCGATTTACGATGCATAAGAATCATTAAAGGCCTACTACTTATTCTTCATCCTTACGGGTATCACTGTTACATCATAGGAATGGACATGAGGTAACATCCCCCACGATGATTCAATCAAGTCTTTACAATTAGGTTGTCCCTTTAAACCTAGATCTTGAGATCTCCAGTCAACTAGGTTGGGTTTCCTTTTGTATTGACTTATCCGTCCTAGAGCTTAAGTCTCATTTCTCTCGATAATTTCCCAACCAACTCTCTATTTAACCTTTTGGTTAGCGAATCCGCAATGTTATCTTTTGACCTTACATAGTCGATAGTAATAACTCCAGTTGAGAGTAGTTGTCTTATGGTATTGTGTCTACGACGTATATGTCTAGACTTTCCATTGTACATGTTACTTTGTGCCCTTTCTATTGTTGATTGACTGTCACAATATATGCAAATTGCTGGCACGGGTTTTGACCATCTTAGAATATCCTCTAAGAAGTTGCGCAACCATTCGGCCTCTTCACCGCATTTATCTAGAGCTATAAACTCAAATTCCATCGTAGATCTGACTATAACCGTTTGCTTAGAGGATTTCCACGATATGGCAGCACCTCCCAATGTGAATACAAATCCACTGGTGAACGTTGAGTCTTTTATATCAGATATCCAATTAGCATCACTGTATCCTTCAATGACTGCAGGATATCTGGTATAGTGTAGTCCAAAATTACGAGTATATCTAAGGTACCTCGGTATTCTTATTATTCCTCTCCAGTGATCAGCTCCTGGATTACTTGTGTATCTACTCAGTTTACTAACTGTGTAGACTATGTTTGGTCTTGTACAACTCATCAAGTGCATCAGACTTCCAATAATTCTCGAGTATTCTACTTGAGAGATACTTTCACCTTTATTTTTAGATAGATGCTGACTTGTATCTATCGGTGTTTTAGCTATCCCGAAATCATCTTTACTAAACTTTTCTAAAATTTTGTCCACATATTGTGACTGGCTTAGAATGATTCCATCTGATATTCGTGAAATTTTTATTCCAAGTATAACATCAGCTAATCCCATATCTTTCATGTCAAATCTCGAATTTAACAGATTTTTCGTGAATTTAACTATCTTATTGTTACTATCAACAATAAGTATGTCATCAATGTAAAGACATAAAATAACATAACCATTTTCAGTGTCTTTAACATAAACACATTTTTTACACTCGTTGATTTTAAATCCACATTCCATTATGACATTGTCAAATTTTTCGTGCCACTGTTTTGGAGCTTGTTTCAAGCCATACAATGATTTCACCAATTTGCAGACTTTCTTTTCCTGTCCTGGTGATGAAAACCCCTCGAGTTGTTCTATATAGATTTCTTCATCTAAATCTCCATTCAGAAATGCAATTTTAACATCCATTTGATGTACTTCAAGATTTCGCAGAGCGGCGATCACAAGTATGATCCTAATAGATGTTATTCTTGTCACTGGAGAACATGTATCAAAGTAATCAAGGCCTTCGCGTTGTCTATAACCTTTTATTACTAACCTGGCCTTGTACTTTTTGATAGTTCCATCTGCTTTCATTTTCTTTTTGAAAATCCATTTGTAGCCTAGTGGTTTACTTTCCGGAGGAAGATCCACTAGCTCCCATGTATGATTTTGTAATATGGAATCTATTTCACTTTTAATGCTATCTTTCCATTGAGGTCCTTCCGATGAGTTCACAGCTTCTTGATAGCTTTGAGGTTCACTTTCTATCATATAGGTCAGAAAATCAAGACCATAAGATTTTTCTGTCCTTTCCCTTTTGCTACGTCTTGGTTCAACCTCAATTTCCTCTTCTAACTCTTGGTCTTGACTATTTTCAGCCATGGTCTCATATGTCCGTTTAGAAGAGCTTGCTTCTTCTTTAGACTTGTATGGGAATACATGTTCAAAGAATGGAGCGTTTCTTGATTCTATTATCGTGTTTTTGTGTATCTCTGGGATTTTAGAGTCATACACAAGAAATCGATAAGCACTACTATTATGTGCATAGCCAATGAATATGCAATCTACAGTTTTTGGGCCTATCTTTACCTTCTTTGGTGTTGGGACAGCCACTTTAGCAAGACACCCCTACATTCGTAAGTATTTATAGGAAGACTTTCTTCCTTTCCATAATTCATAAGGAGTCTTTTCCATTTTCTTCTGGGGCACCTTATTTAAAAGGTAATTTGCTGATAACACAGCTTCCCCCCCCCCCACATGTTCTGAGGTAACCCAGAACTTCCTAGCATTGTATTCATCATTTCCTTTAACGTACGATTTTTACGTTCAGCAACACCATTTTGTTGCGATGAGTAAGGTGCAGTGGTTTCATGTATGATTTCGTGTTGCACACAGAATTCAACAAACGGTGCTTCATACTCATCACCTTGATCGCTTCTCAACACCTTAACTTTCTTATTGAGTTGCGTTTCAACTTCATTCTTATAGAGAATAAATTTATCTATAGCTTCATTCTTACTTTTGAGCAAATACACATAACAGTATTTAGTGCTATCGTCGACAAAAGTAATGAAATATTTGTTGCCGCCTCTTGTTTGTACAAATTTTAAATCACATATGTCACTGTGAATTAAATCAAGTGTTTCTGTGTTTCGTTCGATTGATTTAAAGGATGACCTTGTCAATTTTGCCTCAACACAAGTTTCACACTTATGTTAGGAATCAATGTGGAATTCGGGTATACAATTCAAGTTAACTAGTCTACGTAAAGTATCATAGTTAATATGTCCTAGTCTACCATGCCATAGATTGGAAGATTCAAACAAGTAAACAGAAGAGTTTACTTTATTCATTTTTGGTTTAACAACCATTACATTCAATTTGAACATACCGTCGAAAATATAACATTTTTCGACAAACATTCCACTCTTAGACAAAATAACTTTGTATGACTCAAATACAATGCGAAAGACATGCTTATTCAAAAGCGACCCGAACACTAGGTTCTTGCGAATTTTCGGCACATACAGCACATTGTTAAGAGTCAACTCTTTTCCCGAGGTCATTTTCAGAACAACCTTTCCTTAACCCTTGATCACAGAAGCTGCTGAATTTTCCATGAACAACTTCTCTCTATTCTTAATTGCTTCGAATGTAGCGAATAACTCTTTATCAGAGCACATGTGTCTCGTAGCACCAGTGTCAATCCATCATTCTTTTAGGTTTGAACACACCATGTTCACTTCAGAAATTACGGCTGCGAGATTGATTTCAGACACATCATGTGCCATGTAGTCAACCATATTTGCTTCTTTCTTCTTCTTCTTTGGCAATCTGCACTCCGAAAACTTGTGGCTTACTTTGTCACAATTGAAGTATTTTCCTTGAAATTTCTTCTTAGAAATTCTACCTTTCGGTCCTAACTTTGTCCCTTTGCCACTGGATGGCCCAAACTTGTTTTTGTGGATCTTACTACTTTGACCATGCTCCACAACATTGGCTTTAGTCACACCAGGATTGAACTACTTCTTTTCGAAACTTTTATTGTCTTCTTCAATTCGAAGTCTAACAATTAGTTCTTCAACATTTATTTCCTTTTATTTGTGTTTCAGATAATTCTTGAAATCTTTTCACGCGGAGGGAGGGGGCAATTTTTCAATAATTGCAGCCACTTGAAAAGTTTCACTCAAACTCATCCCTTCGGCATGAATCTCATGAAGAATCACTTGGAGTTCTTGCACTTGACTGATAACTGTTTTGGAGTTCACCATCTTATAGTCTAGGAACCTGCCGACAATGAACTTTTTAGCTCCGGCATCCTCAGTTTTATATTTTCGGTCCGAAGACTCCTACAGCTCCTTAACAATTTTCATAGTACTATACACATTGTACAGCGAATCTGCTAAACTGTTCATAATATAGTTTCGACACAAGAAGTCCAAATGCTTCCACGCATCAAGTGCACTAACTGCTTGCACATCTCCTTCACCCTCATTGAGTTTTGGAGCAGTCTCAATCAAGAATCTCGCAAAATTCAAGGTGGTAAGATAAAAATATCATTTTCTGCTGCCACCTCTTGAAATTCAAGCCATTAAATTTCTCCGATTTTTCTCCATGATTAACCTGCACAGTTGGAGCCATAGTTTGACTCACAACATGACTTGGCAACTTAGTCACAGTCTGTGCCATAACAGAGCTTGACACTTGAACCACAGTAGAGCCCACAGCCTAATTTCCAGCAGGAGCACTTTGTGTCACGTCCATGTTGGTAGGTTCGATAGGCGTTTCTGAAAATGAAACAAATATTAGTTTCTAATAAACAACTTGTTCATTTCAATAAAATAAAATAAACAATTTATTTATTACCAATGTGTATAGAATATGTTTTAAATTTGTTGGGAATTATGTTGGTGGAATGATACCGAATTTACGGGTACCGTATATATATTTTAGATACCGAAATTGCACTTACCGTATATGCAATATACCGTATATGTAGCATATCGTATATGCACAGATTGTATACCGAATTTGCACAAACTTGATTTTACGCATACAATAAGATTAAATACTGAATTTTCTCATACCGATTTATAATATTAGTTAATTACACAATAAACTAAATTATCATAAACCACAATATATTAATCTAATTTAGAACTAAATTATATTAAGTTACGTAAAACACGTTAATTTAATAAATCTAAACGGGAAAACTGAAGATTAACAGAAATTTCAGAGAACAAAAAAATTAACGACATGCTTATAATTTCGTATAAACTTTTAACCTATTGTCTGTGTAAACACAGTGTCCTTAAAATAGATTCGCCCTCTCACCGTATGTGCTTGAGTTTTAATCCGAGTGTCTGTTTCCCAGGATACAACAATATATAATAGAATTTGAGTACCGCAGATACTACTCTGGCGAACTGATCTAGTATCCGAACAATATCACCACAAGAACAAGACCTTACTGGACAATGAATGCAGAAAAGAAGAAACTGTGTATGCAGGAATGTAGGTGAGATTTTCGAGTGTGTTAGATTGCTGGAGAATGAACCTTTTTATATGCATACTGCTCATTAACATTTTGACCATTGGGAGTCCATTGGAGTTACTGCTCATTAAAACTGTGACCATTGGGAGTCCATTGGAGTTACTGCTCATTAAAACTGTGACCATTGGGAGTCCATTGGAGTTACTGCTCATTAAAACTGTGACCATTGGGAGTCCATTGGAGTTACTGCTCATTAAAACTGTGACCATTGGGAGTCCATTGGAGTTACTGCTCATTAAAACTGTGACCATTGGGAGTCCATTGGAGTTTTTGCAGTTTCAGAAACTCAAAAGTCATTGGAGAAAGCAAAAACAAATTGCAAAACGTGGGCTCTCCGAAGGGACAAATTTTGCCTTGTTCGGTCCAACATTCATGTGCGCAGGTTGCGCCCGCACCCAAGTTCAAAGTTCGAAAGCTATTTCGGTCCGAGATTTGCACGAAATTTGCACCCTCCCTGCGCGCGCACGTGGAGAGAGCTTCTATGCTACACATGATTACACCATTAGAAAGCGTAGGCATATATAAAGTGGTTCATGCTTTCTTCATTTTCCTATGTGGGACAAATGACACTTTTCCCACATAAACCATCTTCCAATGGCTAACTTTGAGCCCCAATTTCTCATTCATCCGTTACTCAATTTTGGCAAGTAAATATATGGTTTCGATGCTCTCACGGAGAAAAACATAGATCAACTTTGATCTTCCAAATCGAACTAACGGGTCCCATTCAAACTTATGCCAAAAGTGACCCATTTACTTATTTTTCCAACAGCTATTACCAAATGAAATTACTATTTTGCACTTGGACCGTGCTACACGTTCATAATCATTTACACAATCGTTTACACCCTCATTCACATCATCAAGGTGGAAACCACGGCTCGACATTATTAAATACACGCGGGGCCCGCGTGTTTGTGAGGGGGGGGGACACGCTTCGGTAACCCCCCCCCCCTTCGGTACATATGGTTTTATTCTTTGCACTTAGTTCTTGACACTCGATTGTAAATAAACCATGAACTCCTTAAGAGGAAAAAATTGTTTTAAAGACATAAATTTTCACCTCGATAAAATACCAGATAGTTAGGGTTGGATATAATTTTTAGTCACTTGGTGCAATTCATCACTCCCTTGTGGCGCAAGCTACTAGGTTTGCTATGACAAATCTGTGTTACAATTCATGTAATAAGATTTGACTAATTTTACATCGACTGTCAACCTTCAAAAACGTTCATTCTTTACCAGGGCTTGAGGCCAACTATGAAAAACATTGGTGGTGTTTTCTCAGTACAAACATTCAACAAATCAAAGTCAATCCTATATGCATATTCATCAAGCTATGTTCTACCTCCTAGAGGAACTAAACCCTTGAATAGTCGAATTCACTAAAATTTATCTTAAACGCAGTTTTATTTAACACAAGTTACACTACTTTCAGAAATTTCGAACAACCGAAAATCACAATCTGCAAGGTGATCGAACATGGTCACGACGACCCCTGCGATAAAATTCACGACAATTTTACATCTTACGGACAAATTTTTATTACAAATGTGGATAAAGCAACCGCAGCAAAGTTCTTGATGCTTATTTCTTTTCAATAGGTTTATTCAGGCTTGTTCTTGAAAAACTCGAGGGCAACTTCACCATCACAGTTTTTCCCAGTGAAAGTACTGAAGAATTCTTTGTATGTGAAAGCTTTATAATTGGGAGCATGGTCTGCGTCTAACAAACTTTTGGCTGGTTCAATCAGGATGTCATGAGATGGAATAAAAAATGAGCAGATCGTGGTCCTAGCCTCGTCTGAATGTGTTACCACTCGATGTAATGGACTACTGAATTTTCCGTTACTGATTACCTGAAAAAAAATAAAAAAATAAAAAATAGAAGAAGAGTTCTATTAGGCCAATTTGAAATCACTTTAATTCGAAAAGTTATCGTCTACCTTCAACTGGAGTCCCGGGATGACGAGAAAGGCATTAGGCAGAGGCTCAACACCCATCCATTTGCCCTCCAAGAAAACCTGAAGTCCTGGAACTGAACATTGTTGAATCATACTAATGAGATTAGGATCAGAATGTTCTGGCATTCCCAATGTCAAACATGGATCAGGACATGGAATATGATGATTAACAGACAGCAACTGAATTTTACTTAGATCACCCTCGAAATACCCCTGTTCGATTCCAAGCCCTTCAGAAATCAGATTCAAAATCCTCAACAGAAACTTCCTCAGTTCAACACTATACGAACCGACAACTTCTCTGAAAAGATCAAGCGAAAATCTCGTCAGTTACCTACGAAACCAGACTTATTTTTTTCTTTGGTTCAGAATTCATGAAAAATTAAAAAAACAAAGATCAAGTATTATACCGGTATCTGGCTGGCCTTTCTGGCCAATCTTGAACGTGATCTTCGACAGGATGGCATCGGTGAGTGAAATTATCCCTCCAGTAATGAAATTCTTCTGCATCATAGTTCAATGTGCTCGAGTAAATTCTGCAACTTTTATTGATGTCATTCGAGTAAAAACTCGCCTTGTACTCAGCTGGCATCCCGAAGAACTCCTTGAATACGCTCATCGTGTCTTCCGTTAAACTTTCAGAAACTCCATGGTTGATCACCTGCATTAACAGCACAGCACACCTCTTTCTGTTAAAATATTGCGTTAACACAGTAACAATTCGGAATCCTATAGGTATAACTAGAAAGCATGAACCTGAAAGAATCCGAATTTTTGGCTTGCATTTAAAATCTGCTGAATTGTCTCGACTCTGTCAGGGCCTTCAGCCTTTTCGAGGTCGATTACAGGAACATTTTTGCAGACGGGAAATGCATTCTCCCCAGGCCTTCTGTCTGGTGGGAATACATAACTTTTTGGCAAAGATTGAACATCAGTCCAATTTGACATAAGAAGTTCCATCCTTTGATTTTAATCTTCAAAATATATGCAGGTGTTTGATGTAGCAGATGAAGAGGTTTTATACTAGGTTTCTATCATTCAATGGACAAGGAAATTCAAGGGAGAAAATGGGTGATGAAATTCACAATTATGGTCCACTGCCAAGTAATACACAGTATTTTCTTGATGTTGAATACTAAATTTAAATAAACAAACGTTTCCTGTTAAGTTTTAAGATGAGACGATGCAAATATGATATCAGAGTAGATCAAGTCTCGTTGCCACCTTTTTATGAAACTCACACACGTGACAGGCCTCGATGAAAATATGAATTTGCCATACACATGAGTTGCCGTGTTAAAAAGAGTAAACTGTAAGTATTATGCCCTAGGTCCAATCAACTTTGGACATAAATACTTTTATATGTAATTAATGCAATTAAATGGCAGATCTATTATTTAATTAATAGACAATTAAATAAATAATAGAGCCCGTAGATTCAAATATTTGTAATTTGTTAATCACAATGAGTTGTGATTGTGAGATACAAATTACATCTGATTGAATCTTAAATCATCCGTGGTCGTAAGTAATAACGAGATACGGATATCGTTATTATGGATAGACCATCACGTGTGGCATTTCTTACTTGTGAAGTAAGTAGCTGATCTCACAAGTTAAAGTGTGGTGACACTTAAATGAACACGTGGATGTTTTGTTATAGAATAAAACATTGGAGACCCGTCGAGAGATTCCACATGGATAACTATCTGAGTGTCGGTGGTTAATCTCTAACATTCGGTAGTGAAATTGGTCTTTGACTTGAGGTCGTCATGGTACCTTATATGAGGACAGTCATACTTTGGCGGTGTTGGATGTTGCTCTGAAAAGGGCCGCTAATACGATATCGTTCGGGTACGTCAAGAATCGTATGAAGGTTGTGATTGATCAATAAAAGATTCGTCACTCTTAGATAGTAGGAGATTATGATCTGCGTTTCATTCAATTAAGTCAATGATGAAATCCTTGGCCAAGGTGTACTCATAAGTCGAAAAGGAGTTTTCGATTTATATTGACTTAATAGTGGAGTGAAAGATATGATCGATGATCGAGATTGACACAA